AAAAAAAAAAAGGGAAGAGTTTGAACTCAAGTCCTAACTTTTTTTTTTTTCTTTTTGCTCGCATAAAATAATTTAAAACATTAATGTTAAATACTATATATAAAGAAAAAAATGTTTATCAACTGTAACCGCATAAAATTTAAAGAAAAAATGACATAAAATTAAGTTATTATAATAAATTTTATTAATGACTTATTAATCCAAATAAAAAAATTTAATTATCCTTAAATAAAATTTTAAACTCGAGTTTTATAAATAAAAAAATAAAATTTAATGTGACATTCAGATATCAAGAAATTAATTAAAAAATAAATTTTTATTAAAAAATTAAAGTATTTTAATTTTTAAAGGCATAATAAAAGCTTTAATATATTTCTATAATATTTTATTAAAATAACATAATATTGAGTATTTTTTCACTTAATTTTTTTACAAGTAAGATTTTTTTCTAAAAAAATTAACCTATTGGTATTTATGAATTTTTATTATTTTTTATAAGGCCAATATTCAGTTTCTGGTATGACTTTCAGGGCAGTCTTTTTGATTGCAGATGAAACCGTTACATCTTACATACTTCATTTAGACATGTACTCTACATTCTACGCCTAGATTTTTCATCCAATTTGACTAAATTGCCCTTCGTGGTTCAGACTTGGTACTTTCTCTCCCCTACAATATTTGCTTTATGATTTTTTAATTAATTATAAAAAAAATTATTGAAGTTTACATGTGATATATATAAGCGTAAAACACAAGTAAATCTCTATGATTCCCTTTTTTTTTTTTTAATTATTATTTATTATAAAGAAGGCCCTTATTTCTATTTTAGCATATACCAATGAAAGCATATATATGTCATTGCCACGTATTTTGTAATATGGTTAGTTAATTCAATTTCATTTATGGTTATTTTTCTCAATTAGTTCAATTATGAGGAATGATAGCCGATTAAATTCATAAATAAAAGGTAAATATGATTAAGATACAAAGTTTTTTTATAGCAGTATTTAAAAAATACAATTTTTCAAATACGATAATATAATTTACAATGTATGAATATATCATTAATATATAATTGATAGTAAATGAATGTTAAAAATGAAAAATAGAAGAAGATTAAGATTATATACTCTAATGTATTTTGTTCTCTTAATATAGAAAACTCAAATTCTCTTCCTCCAAGGACATCTCTACCTAATCTTTTACAACAAATGAAGGCACAACTCCCACATGGCTACCTCAACAAATTAATCATTCAAACTTCTAATGCTAAAAACAGAGAATGAGGCAAACATATCCACTAATGATGCAATCTACTAGGTGCTTCTTGGACCACACTTAATTCAATTAACACAAAACAAGAGCAAGCCACCAAATCCTTTCGATAAATATCCCCATGATACGATTAATGCTCATTAGGTGATACATTACAAAGACAATTAATAAAGCCCCCAAGGCCCCATTGTCAACAAGCAAGGGCAAAACTGTAACTGTAATTTCACAGTCCATCCAATCCTCCTTTTTAAACAGTCTTTCCACTTTCCATACCTTCTCTCCCTCCAGCTCCCCCTCCTTGAACCCCCCTTTTTCTTTCTATTTTCCTTTCTCTTTCCCACCACCCAACCAAGAAATGGAATTCTTTGACAACAAAGCCAGAGCCAGAGTCTTTTTAACTCTCTGCTTTCTTCCCCTCTGTTTTTCCTCTTCTTCAATTCATGACCTTCTTGTTTCAAGGGGGTTACCAGCAGGACTCGTCCCAAGGGAAGTCAAATCCTACACTCTCTCAGAAAATGGGACACTGGAGGTTTTCCTGGATGCACCTTGCTTGACCAAGTTTGAGAACAGGGTCTTCTTTGACAGTGTGGTTAGGGCTAACCTCAGCTATGGCAGCCTGATGGGAGTTGTGGGATTGACCCAAGAAGAGCTCTTTCTCTGGCTCCCTGTTAAGGACATCATTGTTGATGACCCCAAATCTGGTCTCATTTTGTTTGACATTGGCGTTGCCCACAAACAGCTCTCTTTATCCCTCTTTGAAGATCCTCCAAATTGCAAACCACAAGGTATTCCATTTCCTGAATTTGAAACTTTCCTGCTCAAACTGTTGGACTATCCTGCCATTGAACACACACACACACACTCTCTCTCTCTCTCTCTCTTTTCCTTTTTTGTTCATTTATTTTCTTGTTTTTTGCAACTTATGCATAGGTTTCTGTTTTTTAATTTTCTGATTTTTTTTTGGGATAAGTAAAATTGAAAGAACGCAGCTATGCAATTTAATATCTGCGGATCTCTGATTATTCCAGTTAGATTTATTCATTTGGTGTTTCCAGTAATTGATTACAAAGTCAGTTTCCCTTTTCTCTTTCTATGTTTGTTTTATGTATATCCCTTGTTTGTTTTCTACTCCTTCCACCCTTCACAATCACAAATAGAGAAAATTAAAAGAACTTTCCTTATTATAAAACCTGCAAAATATCTCAGCTACTTGGTACAAGTACAAATAAAATATCACAAAAATTTTTTCTACAAAAAAAAATTGCAATTTCTTTTATTTGTTATTTCTAATTTTTTTTAATATGATTTTTTTTTTTTTAATCTTACAGGGATATTGAGGAATCATGTGAGGAAGGAGAAAGGGTTTGAAGGAGTGAGATAGGAAGATGCCAAAGCAGTTTCAACCTTGTCCTTTTCCCCCCTAATATGTGTACTGATAAATAGTTTTCTAATTATAGTTTAAATATGTAGGAGGGCCAGCTAGCTGGAATCTGTAAAAAGATATGTGAAATCTTGGAATCTACAGTACTAATCTAATTAAAAAATTCCAATCTTCCAACTTTTGCCTCTCCTTTTGTTTTACATGGTTCATCACATAGAAGATAATCAAGTAAATACATAATAATATTTACAAAAATAATTTAGATATATAATATTATGTGATGTTATAAATTTATAATATATTATTATATAATTAATTTTTTTCATTTAAAAGTTTATCAATGATATTATATATATATTTATTTAAATACACATCAAATTTATTTAATATTACATTATAATTATAAATTTATAATTTTACGTAATATTATAATTTTAATATTATCATAATATTTATATGTCAATAAACTCCATCATAACTATTTATCATTCTAATATTCTAGTAAGTTCTAACTTTTATCTCCTTTTGATTAACACCAAAGGAATGGATACATTCTTTCTTATCTCTCTATCGCAATTTAAATTAATTTATTTACTTCATTTCATCAAAAATTAATAATCTATTCCAAATATCTTTTAACTTTTGAGGTAAGAGTATATTGGGATCTAGTTAGAGTTCTTGTAAAAGTGTTTAAAGTAATAATTTTTTTTCTAAAAAAAAAGGGGACCTCAATTCACGGGCAATTTAGTGCTTGATGTACAAACAAACCTTTTTCTTCGTTGGATTGTAGGGTTCAAGATTCTTTTGAACTTTAATTAACTTTTAATCCTTTCTAGGTAAAAAAATAATTGGGATTTTCACTACAAATACTAACAACTTTTTATTTTACGCGGGAAACGTGGGGCCGGTAGCAGGGTGGGTCACGGTTGCAATGCTGCTTGCTTTGTCGACCCATACACACACACGCACCCCCGTTGCTGAAGGTGAAGTGGGGCACTTTGTATCTTTGTCTTTGGTCTTCACTCTTCTGTTTTGGCTTGGCATTATTACAGCTTTTCCCCACTTCTCTTGTCCCTTGTTTTCCTTAAATTGGGCAATGGGAGAAGTGAAAAACGAAAAAAATGTCATGTAGTTTGTACAACCTCACTTTAATAATTGAATTGGAATAAGCTCATTAATATTGAGAATTCTCTTTTATTTGATGATATTTATTTTACAATTTGATATAATTTGAATTATAGAACAAAAAACTCATTAAAAAATAATTTATAGTTGATTTTATCTCATAAAAAATGATTCTTTTTACGAGTAAGCTTGTATGCACTTTAAAATTAATCTATTTTCAAGTAATTTTAAAGGAGGAACCCACATAGCCCACTACATTCAATTAGATTAAATTTTCTTTATTATTAATCCTAAAACTTGAATATTGAATCTGACATTAAAAATGATACTTATTGATTAATTCAACCTACCTTGGAGCTTATGACATTATGTGCGAGATAAGTGGACGGATGAGAACTCAAGTTCGTGTTTCTCTCGAAAGCATGGAACATGTTCTATCAAAGAAAAAAAAAAAAAGAGAAGCATGGAACATCACGTTTAATTATTTGAGTTTAATGTTATTAAGCCAAGGGTTAACTGATATATGGGAATGGACCAAAAGGAAAAAGAGTTCTAGGGGAATGGAGATGCTGACATTGGTTTTTTTGACAATTTAATTCAAAGAGTTATTATCTTAATTAGGCTGTATGATGCTAGATGAATGGTCTTGGTAATTCAAAGTGCTATATTGGTTTTTTCATATATTTCCTTTTTGGTCCTAAAGGCAAGAGGGGGGAGCTGGATTCAAAAACCAAACCAGTTATCGAGAGAGAAAAAATCTATTGCCCAATTGGTTTATTACTTCTCTAGTTATGATAAATAAAAAACTGGTAACATCTTGAAGACTACTTGAACTTGGCATGAAAGGCAGGTGATCACCCA